GCATCAAGAAATTAATGCATAACATATACTGACGCATGATTGTCCTCTAACAATTTAAAAACAAAAGCCTTATAATTGCAAGTAAACTTACAATTCCCCTGTAGCTATGCACCCTAAGAAAATTAAGCAGGGGCCACATGCTTTCTTTGTCATTGAACAATTTTGAGGAAAGGTGGCGATTGAGGAACTGCACGCCATTTCCAATCGACTTCGAAAGTGACGGACGAGGGAAAGAAGCATTGAAAGGCTCGAAGTCCACCTCGAGAACAAAGTTCTCATGAGAGCTGAAACACAAAAGAATGAGAGATTTCATAGTTGGTTAATCTTAATTGACAAATCAAAACTAGATAACATAAAGATCATAATACCTGTCAGCAAGCTCCTCCTTGAACTGCAAATATTCGGCCACAGTTAACTCCTCTACAGCCAGTTCACTTACATTAACTCTAACATACTCCCAGACTCCAGGCCTAGGACGAATGGCAAGAGCAACCCAAGGAGGTAAAATTATTGCTTCCTGTTAATAATAATGACAATAGTAACAGGATCAGGCATAAGCAAGAGCAGAAAATATGGTAAAATTAAGACATATAGCAACTAATTGAAAGAAAAGTAAGAGAACACTCATAAATTCTGATATTGTTTCTTAAAGCATCAACATAAAAAAATCTCAAAAAAACAAAAAGAAAGTAAAAGAAAAATATGTGATTCTATGATCCAGTCAAATGAAAAATCTCGAATATGTGGTTCTTAGACGGGAGGTTAATGACTTTGTCATCGTATATCCATAACTCCTGGTTATATGAGAAATGCTAGGTGGTAAATATTGCCATGTTTGGACAGGAATTAAATGACTTAACAAAAAAAAGGTGAAATAGAATTATAAAAATGATACTATATTGCACCTGTGCAGCTTTCAGGACATCCTCAAACACCCCATCCTTGAGTTTAGCGCGATCTGCTTCAGGGATGACAGCTTTGTACTCATGTAACAGCTGATGGGGCTGCAACATTCCTTTTCCCTGCTTTACAAACCTGCAAATTGAGAGGAGATAAAAGCGTATAGTCCATTTCAGTGATTCATGGTAAACCATGAAAATAAGAATTATAAAGTCTTATTGGATTTTGACTAGAAAATAGAACAGAATTGAGACCTTGAGAATAGGGAAATCAACTCGTTGGTGTGAGCCGACAAAGTGTCACTCAGGCGATCCCGAACATTGGGGGGAAGGCTCAACGAACCCATGGCTTCTTCCCTTTCCTTTCCTTCCACAGGCTAAGCAGGCCTAAAGCCTACAATATAAGGAATGAGAGATAAGGATATTAGAATGTTAACAGGTAGAATGAAATAAAGAAGAGGGAAGACTAACACCCAGAAACTTGAACTAACAGGAGATGGATAAAATCATAAAACAGCTATACTAAGAAAGATTTGAAATTGCACTAAATTGGCTTCCATGCATTGGATTACAAATGACTTAAAAACTCAATTAAAACCATGAACTCTGAAGTTAACATGAAAGCGATTGTAACATGAAAGCCGTTGTATTGGCAATAAGAAAATAAATAGAGTATCCATATTGACTAATGAAGGCCAAAATGTTTTGAAAGTATAATCCATAGCAACACCATAAATTGCACCTAAGATATCACTGCAATATAATAACAATAGTAATAGAACACAGAAGAATCTACACGCAGAAAAAGGAAACTAAACCCAAATTCTTTCGCTAGAAAATCTTTGGTATCAGAGCAAAGAGAGCACAAGAAATACACCAAGTAGGCCTTAAGACTTTTTAAGAAAACTAGAGAGAAGTACTCGTAAATGAGATCAAAGGTACTGAAGCTTAGGCAGGGGGGATCTTTTCCTTCTACTCCTGCCTACAATGGAGTTAGCTGAAAGTGCTCAGAACTCAAACTTGCTCATAACATAAAGTTGCTATGTCGGTTTTTCATTGAGGCAAAGGAATTCAACTTTACGGGATAACAGCTGCATAAAACCACGGGCTAGTAGAAGAAACAGAACTGCCAACTCACACACCCTCCTTGAGCTGAAACGTGTACTCAGTATGGGAGAGAGAATGAGAGAAGCGTTTTCTGGCAATAGCTGGAACACTTGGACACCGCAAAGCTTACCCACGGAAATTTAAGCATTGTAGTTAAGGAATAACCAAACCTCATTAATGGATTAAAAGATAGATAATAAATCAAAAAAAAATCCTACCGCATTTTGTGAAAACAAACAAAAAAAGTGAGCAACTGGTCTAACAAGAGGTAACTAATATTTTACCTTAGCGAAAATATAGCACAAAATCATAGAATTTGCAGTGAAAGAACTCGCTGTCCTTTTGTAACACTAGACATTTAAACAAGTGACCCGACAAGAGTTAATGAGAGCGGAGGGGGGAAAAAAACAAGAATAATTACAGGACCTCCCCACACTTGCTTCCAATTTAAGGACATGCGGTTTTATGCAAATCTGATGATTACACAAATGATGAATAATAATTAATAAACCACGCACCAGATCTTACAGGCATCGCATAGATATTTGCAGAAACTACATGCATGCTGAGGAAAACTAATCCCCTCTTCATGTTCACCTTGAATTAGAAGTAATTGCTAATGCAAATAAATAGGTTTAAATAAGTCACAGAAAATCCCATCGATTTTATGCAGAAAACAGATAATTAAAGAAGTGATCTGACAAGAGTTAATAAGAACACCTCGTTTACAGTATAACCCAGTCATAGAATTTGAGGAGAAAGAACATGTAACCGTTAAGACAATAAAACAAGCGCTTAAGAATCTAAGATCACCTCAGTTAAAAATGAAAAAGTATATAGAACTTCCACAGAATTCCATGCAGAGGAAGAACATGCAATTTTTTGCAAGATCGATAATTAAAATAGTGAGCAAACAAGCAAGACCTCATAAGAATATAACAAAACAATCATAGGTATTTGCAGAAAATTACATGCATAGAAAGAATATTTTTCAATAATCACATCACGTTGAACTTGGACTAGAAGTAATTGCTTTCTAAAAAGGACTAATTTAGTTCCCTAAATAAACAAACCCATGATAATAACATCTATTTTACAAGCATAAAACCATTAGTTTGCACTGGAAATTGACGAAGATCCCAGAAAATTACACTTTTTTGCTTTCCAGATCAAAGTATACCACATGAACAGACACTTTTACCTTGCAGTGAATATAACTATGAACTGGGAAGTACTCAACTTTGTTGCTTCAACATAAAGAATATACTTGAACTAAAAAGAGGGTCTTTCCCACTAAAAGGCAAGTCTAAAATTTGCCACGAAAGAGACCTTCACTTTCCGAAAAGTCTCTCCTTTGGTAAAGTAAACAAATAAAATAAAAAATATATAGTTTTGAGAATATTTGTGTTGTTTCCGCATAAAAGAGGGGGGGCTTTAAGAAGGGCAAAGCAAAACCTTACCATCCAATCAACTTTCTGGGCAAATAACTTGTTTTCAATGATAATCAATTATTTACCACAAGCCTCAGTAACTTGTTGCAGTTACCATAGACCAAAACTAAACCCATTCGAGTAAAAGTTGCATGCATGGAATTACTTAAACTAGCACATAAAATAGATCTGTTAAAAAATCACCAAAAAGATTACTTCCCAAAAAGCTATGAATATAATCCTGAAAGGTGAAATTTTGAGAGTTGGATTAAGTTGCCTCATGAGGGGAAAGACAAACCCAGAAAAGGAATTTTAAAGGATTTGATGATCAGAGAGAAATCTTTGCTTCAACGAATTAAACTAAAAGAAGTGATTTTTAAAATATTATAACTTAATTAATCAGCAATTATATAATGGAAACAGTCCAACTTCCGTACTAAACCAAGTTCATAAATGCATGGCTCAAAGTAAAAATAAGCTAGAAAAGAGAGAAATTTACCTTGCTGAAGACCAAGCTAAAGAAAGAGCAGGAGAGAACCGAAGAGCTAAGTATCACAGAAAACTAAGCAGAGAAAAGAGAGAGGGGGGCGATGAGAATGAGAGCCAGAGGTCCTCTTTATATATACTCAGAAGAGAAACTCGTCGGTGTATCGCTGAGTGACGAGTGTCGAGAACTATTTCGGGGTTTGAGACGTCCATTTCTGAAACCGTCATTGGTCCAGAACATGGACGCCGGTCTCTCTCTACCCTGCACGAAAAGTGTAACGGCCTCTCTTTCTTTCCCTCTAGAGAATTGGGAAGCGGGAGTAAAACTCTTTTTGTACTTTTTGGTGTGTTTGGGAGTTTACTAAGGCCTTGTTTGGATTTGTAGGGGGTGAAGGGAAGTTAAGGGAAACTGAGTGAAGGGAAGAGAAGGGAGTTCACTTCTACTTGGTTAGAGCATCTCCAATAGCTTCCCCAAAATTTTCTCCAAAATGAAGAAACAAAAGTCATATTCTCCAAATTATTTTTGCTCCAACTCCAACAGCTTCCCCATTTTGAAAAATCGCATTTATTACAACAATAAAGCTCTCCCCAAAAATTTGGAGAATGCTGCAGATTTGGGGAAGACTCCCTATTTTTTCTCCTCCTTCCCTATTTTGGAGAATAGGATGGGGAATCTGTTGGACCAAAAAAAAACTCTATATTCCCCAAATTTGAGTATTTCAAGAAGATGGGGAAGCTGTTGGAGATTCTCTTACACCCCAATTTGGGGGGTAACAATTTTTATACTATTGGGGGGTGAACCAAGGGGAACTAGGGTGAATTAACTTCACCTCCTAAGTGTTCCCAAACAAGGTGAATAGAGGTGAATGGTTCCCCTAACTTCCCTTCACCCTCATTCCCCTCAATCCAAACAAGCCCAAAGGGAAGGGAAGGAAAGGTAAATAACGGGAAGGGAAGGGAAGGAAAGGAAAGAGAATTGTAATATGTTGTTTGGGAGTTGAGTAAGGTGAATGAAGGTGAAAGGAAGTAAATATGGGAGTTGAGTAAGGTGAATGAAGGTGAAAGGAAGTAAATATATGTAAATTTACATAAATGACTTTATACTAATAACACATCAGCCCTTTTATTTGTTTTGATAGGGGTAAGAATGTCATTACATCCCTTTACCCTCCTTTACCCTCCTCTACCGCCCAAATCGGGGGGGAAAGAAAACCAAGCAATTTTACCCTCTTTTCCCCTTCCTTCCTCCTATTTACCCTCCTTAAAAAAACTCCCAAATAAGGTGAAAGCCTCATTTCTCTTCCCCTCCCCCTCTCTACCCTCCGTCCAAACAGGGCATTTATCTATAATGGTCTCTTTGGATGGAGCATAGGGAGGGGAGGAGAAATATAATTTTAACATTGTTTGGAAGTTACATTTAAGAGGATAGAGTAGAGGAATTGGGCAAAATTTCTGCCAAAATGTTACACTCCAAATTCGGGGTAATGAAGGAAAAGGGAAGGAAATGAATTTTTCCCCTTCCTTCCCCTTCCTTCCCTTTCCTAAAAGGACTTTCCAATTTTCTTCAGACTATTAGGAATATATGGTTAGATATTATTCTTATTCATACCTTGTCTAGGAGATAGGAGATTATATACCTTATTAAGATGGAGAATATGTTGGAATAATTATATCATTCTATACTATATTTGCACAATGTAACTTGTATATATTTACGGTTCATGAAGGAATACAATTAAGCCTTCCTACTCAATATTTCTTCCTCGTCTATCATGGTATCAGAGCAAGGTTCTCAAATCAATCATAACCATCCAATTGATCAAATCAATTAAACTCTAGTCTCAAAACCCTAATTTCAGCATCAGCCTCCAAGTCCGACCAAGTCGGAAAGCTGCTCGGTGTTCTCTCGGGCCGTCATCGTCATTCTCACCTCGTCGTTGTCGACCTCGTGGTCGTCCGTCGATCTCAACCTCGACCGCTGTTCTGCCGTCGTCGGATTCCAGCAGTCACCGCCCTAGATCCGACTCTTGTCGCCACCTAGAACCGCCTAAGAACGATCCGCGGGCGGACTCTTGCCGCCGCTGCTGCTTTTGTTGGGCATCTGGTGACTCTTGTCGCCTAGAACTGCCCTAGAACGTTGCCGAATCTCTTCAATATTTTTCGGCGAGATCGAAGGTTGAGAGAGAGCATTTGTTGGGCATCTGTTGATGCTTTTTTTTTATTGGGTTTGGGCCTTTTTTGTTTGTTGGGCCTGGTTACTAGATTTCTGAGAGGAGGAAGAGGCACGAGCAACCCTAGTTTGAATATATATATTCTATTATTCTACTCAAAAAAGAGACCAATCCTAACCTTCAGGTTCATTTTAACCTTCGGGTTAGTTTTATTTTAAACCTTCGGGTTTCATCCTAACCTTCGAGTTTCATTCTAACATTCGGGTTCTATTTTAAACCTTTGGATTCCATCCTAACATTCGGGGTCTATTTTTAACCTTTGGGTTCATTTTAAACATTCGGGTTTCATTCTAACCTTCGGGTTCTATTTTTAACCTTCGGGTTCTACTTTTAAACATGGCTGCAAATATTATTGAGAAGTTTCCTCGGCTTGATGTGAAATTCACAAGGACCAATTACCGTGAGTGGTCGATTTCTGTGCAACTTCTTTTTTATGCTCTCGATCTCACAAGTCATATTAATGGCACACCGCCTCCTGAATCTGGAACTGATGCTAAGCAAACAGAGGCATGGGCTCTTGCAGACCGCCGAGCACGTGGCATTATTTCTTCCTCCATAGAGATTGACATCCGCATGCAGCTTGTTAGTCTTCAGACTGCACTTGCCATGTGGCGCCAATTGCAAGGACTTTATCAACAATCTAGTCATGCCTACTCATATTTTGTCTACCAAGAACTCTCTCTTGCTCAACAAGATGAGCGATCCATCCAAGAATTTTATAATTTTATGCATGCTCAATGGCGCCAACTTTCAATAATGGAGGAACCTTTGTGTCAAACTTGTGCGGCTTGTGCATGTGCCACCAAGCAGCATCGTGTTCACGATCAACATCGACTATTTCAATTCTTGATGCATCTGCGATCTGAGTATGAGTCATTACGCAGTCAAATTCTTCATCAGTCACCACTACCAACTCTTGATGATGCCTTGGCCGAAATCATCGCTGAAGAGACTCGCCAACATGTGCTAAACACAAAGACTACTTCTATTCAAGGTGCTCTGGTTGCTCAACAACCATTTGTATCATAGTCATCTTTGGTAACTGTCTTTGCACCATCAGTCTCTTCTAACAAACAAATGAATAATTATTGTTGGTATTGTCGTCGTCCTGGACATATCATCCAAAATTGTTTTAAGCGAAAACAAACTAAAAACTGATATCCTCGTCAACGATCGACTACTACTGTGGCAATTTCTGGTGCTAAAGTTTTTGTTGATGAGTATTCTACAAACCAGTTTGCTTTCTCTGGTGCTCCTGAGGAATCTACTTCGAGTGTTACTCTTTCTGTGTCAAAATTGATCCAGATGCTTTAAGGGTAGGGAACCTCTATCTCCTCTCCAGTTGTTGCTCCAAGTGTCCTTACACCCTCTCCGTTTGGTACCTCTGGTCATACTTTTCCACTACCTCTAGTCCCACAGGTATACCAAAAAATATTAGGATACTGGACTCTGATGCTTCATTTCATATGACACTACATGCATCTGTTTTATCCTCTCCATCACCTTTACCTACTCAAGTCAATGTTTTTACAGCAAACGGCTCTTCTCTCTCTGCTACACATAAGGGATCTATTACTGGTCGCTTATCTATTCCATCTGTTTTACACATAACTCATCTTTCATTGAACTTACTTTTAGTTAGTCAAATAACTAATCATAATTGTATTGTGGTTTTTGACTCTACTTCTTGTTATGTGCAGGATCGTCAGACCGGAACCTTGATTGGTCAGAGACATAGGCGTGATGGACTTTACATTATGGATCATGTAATACTATCATCCACTTCTATCACCCATTCCGCAGCCGTACACTCTGTCACCACTTGCGATGATGCTTTTTCCACAGGCTTTGGCATCATCGATTAGGTCATTTATCTACTGATCATCTCCGTATGCTCACAAATAATGGTATCTTAGGTAGTTGTTCTATTTTAAGTCTGTATACTTGTATGAGATATAAACTATCTAAACAAGTCACTAAACCTTATCCTATTAGTGAGTCTCAAAGCAGCTTTCCTTTTCAACTCGTTCATTCGGATGTTTGGGGTCCAGCCTCCTTAACGTCTTGTAATGGTAATAAATATTATGTTATCTTTATTGGTTATTTTTCTCATTACACTTGGGTTTATTTTATGCATCACTTCTCATCTCTATTTAAAATCTATAAAGATTTAACTACTATGATCAAAACCCAATTTGACACTACAATTAAGACCTTTCGATCTGATTCTGGTGGTGAATATATCTCTCATGAGTTTCATCATATTCTAACTGATCATGGTACTCTCTTACAGCTTTCATGTCCTTATGTATCAGCAAAATGGTGTTTCAGAAAGAAAACACCATCATATTATGGAGACTACAAGATCACTACTCATTTCTAGCTCCATGCCTAAACAATTTTGGATTGATGTTGTTGCTACAGCTGTGTATCTCATCAATTTGATGTCCTCTTCAGTTCTTTCTGTCATATCACCATTTGAAAAATTAACGTCCCGGCGTCCTTCTTATTCATATCTTTGCGTGTTTGGCTGTACTTGTCTAGTTCTATTACCATATCATGAAAGAGATAAATTATCTCCTCGTTCTGCGATTTATGTTTTTCTTGGATACAGTCTTGAGCATAAATGATATTGTTGTTATGATCCAATTAAAAAGTGAATTTGCATTTCCCGAGATGTGACCTTTTTGGAGTATATTCCATATTACTCTAGACAGTCCCTCAATGACAATAATACATCACCTACTTCCGTTAACCTTTCATTTCTTGAGCTTACCACACCTTCGATTCTAGTAGATTCATCACCTCCATCTCCATCCTCTGACAATCACCAAAGTGTACATGTTCCAGTCTCACCTGCTGACCATTCAAACTCGACCCCAAATGATGATTTCTCACTAGCTGATCGTCGCTAG